CATATTAGTTATCGTTTTCATGGGCAGCAGTAAACCCTTCCCATGGCCGAGCGGTGTCGCAGAAGGACGTGCTTATGGGGCTTAAACTATGTAGTTTTATATTTGTCGGTATATATATATATATATATATATATATATATTTTTATATATATATATATATATATATATATATATATATATATATATATATATATATATATATATATATATATTGTTACGTGGCGAGTAGTCAGGAGTCGCTTACGGAAAGCACAACGAGTAGCTTTACCCTGCCGATCGTGATGGCGGCGTGACCGAATGTCCCTGTATGCGCAGGCACGTACACTGTCTGATTGTCGCAGAAGAAGACGAGGCGCGTCTTCTTTTTTTATATTATGCCGGACATAACACCTCCCCCCACTAGACGTCATGTCCATATCTTTGAGGTGGTCGCCGGTCTCGGGAACTTCTTCGAGTGCCTGAAGTGTCAGGCTCTGCCGGCGGCACAACAGGAAGCGATTCCTCGGGAATAGCAGTTGTGCTGTTGTCCCTGATGGTTGTCGCGGGTTGCGGAGCCAGGTCATCACGGCTGTTAATGTCCCATGCGGGTGCCACAGCTGTCTGTGTAGGTTGATTATGCGATGCCACTCTTCGCGGCCGTATGTGGTTGGTGTGCCGGCGAATTGATCCTTGCTCTACCCGAATCATCCAAGAGCGATGTCCCAGCTGACGTTTGATCACTCCCGGTATCCACTTTTTACCGTCTGGAAATGTTTTAACCCACACTGCTTGGCCTACATTCAGCTTGCGTGGGTTTGTAAAGGTGGCGGTGCTTTCAGGTGTCTCGGGGCTGAACGTCTTTAGTCGCTCGAGAGCAGACGGAAGTTCTCTTCCAAAAAGCATCCAAGCAGTTGTCTTTCCTGTTGCCACATGGATTGTTGTATGTTGTTTGAATAAAAATCTGGCAACCACACAATTCAGATCTTCTCTTCCTCTTTTAGCTAGTGCCATTTTCAGCTCTTGAACCATGCGTTCAGCCTGGCCGTTAGTTGCTGGATGGTATGGCGCGCTTGTGATGGATATTACACCGTTATTCCGGTAGAAAGTCTTGATGTCGTCGGACACAAACGCTGTGCCGTTGTCCGAAACCACCTTCCGGGGAACGCCGAAAGTTGCGAAGATAGCCCTCAATTCTCTAATGACGGCAGCCGACGTCATGTTTCGCATCACTCGGACTTCCACCCATTTAGTGTATGCGTCCACGACCACCAGAAAAACTTGGCCTTCAACAGGACCCGCAAAGTCCACGTGAATAGTATCCCAAGGGTGGGAGGGTCTGTGCCAGACTGGCATGGGCTCCTTCGGTGGTGTCTTGCGGTGGGTCTGGCAGGCAGTGCATTCTGCGACGAATGACTCTATGTCTGCGTCGATACCGGGCCACCAGAGGTAGCTCCGTGCGCATGTCTTCATTGCGATAATTCCACGGTGCATCGCGTGAATCAACGTCAACGCGTCCGTCCTCAGCCGCGTGGGGATCACAATGCGTGCCCCTCAGGTAACACAATTTCGGTGTGTCGACAGTTCTGCCGCCTTTTTTGTGTAAGGTGCGAACTCTGGTGATTTGAGCCGATGAAGAGTGCCCTTCTGTATTGCTTCTAACACTTCAATCAGCACAGTGTCCTTTGCTGTCGCTTCTGCTACCTGTTGCGCTGACAGAGGAGGCCGTGACAGTCCTTCAAACATCAAGATATCGCCAGGTAGACTCAGTTCGTCTTCTGTGTGTGGTAACGGAAGCCGACTGAGAGCGTCTGCATTCTGGTGACGATTTCCTGGCCTGTATTTCAGGTCGTAGTGGTAGGCTGCCAGTTTCACGCACCATCTAGTCATCCTTGGTGACAATACTTGTGGAACAGGCTTGTTGGAGCCGATGATACCTAGCAGAGGCTGATGGTCTGTGAATATGGTCACGGACCTCCCAGCTATGTATTGATGGAAGTGGTGAACTCCGTACACGATAGCGAGGCCTTCACGATCCAGTTGCGAATAGTTCCGCTCGGCACTGCCTACCGTTCTGGATGCAAAAGCGATCGGAGCCTCCCGCCCATCAGCATCTTGGTGTGCAAGTACGGCTCGCACTCCATATGGTGAGGCGTCGCAAGACAACACTAGAGGTCGTTTTCCATCATAGTGTGCGAGCACAGTTTAGTTCGCCACTAGATCTTTGAGCTTTTTAAAAGCCCTTCGGTGTGTTTCTTCCCACTTCCACTCTTTGTTCTGTTCAAGTAGTTCGTACAATTCCTTCGCGATTGTCGCGCAATCCTTTAAGAACCTGTCGTAAAACGCCAGGAGGCCTAAAAGGACTGTAACTGCGTCTTGTTCTCTGGTTCTGGGGCTTTGACTACTGCTAGGATCATGTCCTGGGTTGGATGAATTCCCTCGGCGTTTATGCGGTGACCTAAGAATTTGACCTCCTTCACGCCGAAGAAGCACTTGCTTTGCTTGAGCTTCAGTCCTGCCTTTTCTAGTCGTGAGAGTACCTCATCCAGCCGACGCGCGTGCTCACTTGGAGTTGTTCCGCTGATGATTATATCGTCAAGGTAAACGCTAACTCCCGGAATGGCCGCGAGTGTGGTTCCCATGACTCGTTGAAATATCGCCGGGGCGGCCCCGATTCCGAAAGGTAGCCGCATCACTCTGTAGAGCCCCTTGATCGTGTTGATCGTCAGTATTTCGGCGGTCGTATCCGTTACTCGCAGCTGCTGATACGCTTGCGCGAGATCAAGCGTCGAAAAGACAGTTCCTCCTTGAAGGTTTGACAGAGCCTCCGTCGGTGTCGGGAGCGGGTAGGATGCCGGCTTTGCTGCGTCGTTCACGGTACTGCGGTAATCCCCGCAGAGTCTCACGGATCCATCTTTCTTCCTGACAACCACGACAGGCGTTGCCCACGCGGAGTGTTGAACCGGCTCTATAATGCCTTGCTTCTGCAATGCTAGCAATTCGCATTCAACTACTGGCCATAGTGCAAATGGTACTTGTCGGGCTTTAAGGAACTTGGGTGTTGCTGTTTCTTTCATCTCCAAGTGTACCGTTGGTCCGATTTACCCTGTGATCTCAGACACTGTGCGCGCTGAGCACCGTTGTGATAGTACGGTCTTGCTCAATGTGGTGAATACCACTGAGTCGAATCTTCAGTGCTGAGAACCAGTTGCGTCCCATCAGGTTGCATCCTGTTCCGGTTGTGACTACGAGTGGCAGGATATAGTCCTTAGACTTATGCTTTACGTGTACCTGCGCTGAACCGAGAACTCGGAGTCCTTCACCGGTCCACGTCTGCAGCGTCATTTCCTCTTTCTGTAAGGGAGGTGGCTTGTTTGTCCATGTTCGCCTGTAGGTCTCTTGACTGATGACCGTGACTGCAGCACCAGAGTCAACTTCAAATTCTAGTTCTCTTCCTTCTACTTTAAGCGTTATGAGGTACTTGGGAACCACGACGCTGGGACGAACAGCATTAAGTTCCTGCATGTCAAAATCACTTACTGACTGATCAGTCTCGTTTTGGTCATCGCTCACAGGTTGGTCGAGCGTTGTGCAGCTCCGGATCGAGCCTTCATTCGGCAAGCCTTTTCAATGTGACCCGTCTTTCTGCAAAATCGGCACGATGTTTTGCGAAATCGACAAGTTTCTGTGCTGTGTTGCTCATTGAAGCGGTAACACGGCGTCTCCGGATGACCACTGGAAGTGGTGGGTGCCCGGTTCGTAGTTCTACACATTTTGTTGAGGTCTGGTTTGGGGAGTTTCAGCTCCTGTTGTTGTTGCACGGCACTCTCAAGTCTGATGGTAATATCGTAAGCTTGCTTGAATGTGAGTTTTTGTTCTGCAAAAATACGTTGTTGAATACGCTCATCTTGAACTCCGCAGACGAAGCGCTCACGAAGCATCACGTCCAGCGGCAGCATCGTTGGATTGGAAGCTAATATGCCTCCGGAGCTCGACGACCCCACTGACACTGTGCCGCCGGCACTCGACGAACCCGCTGTCGTCGTTGGCGATGTAGCTGTCGTCAACACGCCAAAGTTACAGTCAGTTGCCAATTTCTTAAGTGCTGCCACGTAGCAAGCAATTGACTCCCCTGGATGTTGATCACGCCTCTGAAATTTGCTTCGACAGAAGAGTTCGGATGGTCTTGGATCGTAATGGTCCCATAACAAGGACATAATTTCGTTGAAGGAAACTTCTCCTGGCTTGTGGGGTGCAACTAGCGCTCGAACTGTGTTGTAGGTCTCTGCGCCGCATAAAGTCAGCAGTAGCGCCCTCTTCTTTCCGGCGTCTTGCACATCGTTCGCCTGGAAGTAGAAGTCCAAGCGCTCCACCCAGGCCGACCACGCAGTACCGTCGAACTCTTCGACCTTGCCTTGCAGCGCTGACATCGTTCAAACGATGCAAGTCTTCCCTTGTGCGGTTCTGGTCCGCCTTCGTCGCCAATGTTACGTGGCAAGTAATCAGGAGTCGCTTACGGAAAGCACAACGAGTAGCTTTACTCTGCCGATCGTGATGGCGGCGTGACCGAATGTCCCTGCATGCGCAGGCACGTACACTGTCTGATTGTCGCAGAAGAAGACGAGGCGCGTCTTCTTCTTTTTTTTATATTATGCCGGACATAACATATATATATATATATATATATATATATATATATATATATATATATATATATATATATGTACCGACAAATATAAAACTACATAGTTTAAAAAAGAAAACAGACGCGTGATATGTGTAAGAGACGAAGAAAGCGACTGAAGCATTAATGAATACACACTAATATTTTACCATCGCAAGCTGTTTCCTGCAATGAATACTGTGCTGATGTTTTTCCCTTGAACTTTTTTCTGAACCTACTTCATAATGTTTCCGCTCATTTGGTAAATTCCCCTGTTTTTTGTGTGTGGCACGCGCTATCTCTGACAAGTAATGGAATATTAAATGCAAGCCTCAACTTAGTAATCCACTTCTCATTTCAGGATCCAAAGCAAGGACTTCGGATAGACGGCCAGGCAAGTTAATTTAATGAACATATTAACATAACCACGCCCTCTTTGATATTTATAACATTGACGAATGCAAGCCACCTCTTCATTTATATTGAACTTCGTGAGAATTGCTTTGCAAATAAATCAGTTTATTTTGAAAGACTTGCAAAGACCGTATCTCCATAAATTTTCACACAACTTGAAAAAAGTTGCCTTGAGGTACGATGTGCCACTGGTGTTTTCCGCTCTGTGTAAGCAGGCGCAACTGTGCGCGAGAGTTAAAAGTAGGAAGAACAAAGGCCTCGCTTGCTAGGTGAAGCATGAGAATCAATATGTTGTTTGCAAGGTGCGAGTTGTGTACCCGATTCCACTAACCTGTGGAAAAGCGTACGTCGGTCAGACGGGCAGATGTGTTAATCACAGACTGCGGGAGCATGACCTGTCGTTGCATCAGTGGTGGGAGCTGTAGGGTGGCACCTGCCATTGCATTGTCATGAATGTGGGTGCAAACCTACCTTCTGTAGGACTGGTATCATTGACAATCGAAGGGACAGAGTGAATAGAGAAATTTTAGAGGCGCAGGCGATTATCAAAGCAGGCGCGAACTCCGTAAGCCAAACGTCACAGGGCTTGAGTAGTGCAGAGAATGTTTTTTGGGCAATTGGTCAATGTATCATATGACGTGGGCGTGGTTGCTGTTTTTTTTTGTTTTGTTTTCATGTGATTACAGTTTAGTTGAGCGTCAGCGCTTGTCCTGTTTGCACTTCCGTTAGTCCCCGTATACTGTGCGCTGTTTGCTTTCTCCCCACTGAATTATAGACCCTTTTTATGGCAAACGCAACCAGGTGGTGCTTCAGTCTTTGACGTCCCCAGTGAACTTCCGGTTTACTAAAAAGAATAAACAAATGTAACCGTAACAACGCTGCTTGAAATGAAGATGAAACGTTTAACCACAGATTCTCCAGATGAACGCCAAAAGAAGGAAGGAGTGCGAGATTTGTTAATATGTTTCGAGTGTTCTTGAAAACCAACTTGCCTACTGCAATATGTAATATTGTAAAGTCGAAGGCACTCGTTAAATCTGTAACTTCGTTGTGCGTGTAGCATTTATGCTTTCGAGCACTGGTTACATAAGCAAGCTCAACATGCTTGCAAAGTCGGTGCGACCGGAAGTCGCTTGGAACGCAAGCGGCAGTTCCTGTTTGTAAACAGCAAAAGGGTATATTCGAAATCGTTCATGAAAGAAAAGCTAATTGACTGTACAACAAGGGTTTTTTTATATATACATGAAAGACTTCGTACCTTGCCGCGGCAGCTTAGGCAACCGCAATCTTTACCGCGAAACACAGGCGGGAGCGTTAGGCGCTTCGCATTGTTAGTGCGGCTAGTGACGTCACTCCACACCTCGTACTTTGCCGTTGCCGCGGCAGCTTACGCAACAGCAATCTTTACTGGCAAACGCATGTGGGGGGCGCTGCGTGCTTATCATCTATCACGTGGTTTTGGGACTTGTTTTGTGGCTTTCTTATTGAAACAGGGGTAAAACTACACGATAAGAGATAGGCGTGCACGAATGGTGATAAGGCGAGTGTGATGATTTAATGTCGACGGACACGAAAGAGCCCAACCTACCATTCATATAGAGCTTCGCTGAAAATCAAGTTCACATAATATATCACCAAATCCGCAGTACGTAGAGCATAAGGTTTTTTTTTGTTTTTTTTAATTTACAAATTTGTTTAAAAGAAAAAAATGTTAAAGCTACACTTATGCGGTTTGTGCAGGTGACTTATACGGCAAAGGGGACAGCGTATAAGGAGCTAATCGCAGCGATCAGTCGGCTAATAAATAAATGTGTTAATTAACTTTTCAATTACTGAAAATGAACGCGTGGTTTCAATTAGAAACCTGCTGAGCCTCATCGAAAAAAAGTGAAAGCCGTTTACAACTCCCTGTAACACCGAATTGGAGCGCAGCTCTTGAGGAGGAGGAGGGAAGGGTACTGAGGGGAGGGTAGACCCCTCCTCCTCCTTCTCCTCCTCCTCCCCTCATTTTTTAATATGCTCCGGGGGGGTCACCTGACCTCGGGGGGAGGGGGGTCACGTGACCTCCGGGGGGAGGGGGGTCACGTGACCTCGGGGAGGGGGGCCACGTGACCTGGGGGGCCACGTGACCTGGGGGCCACGTGATCTCGGGGGGTGACGCGACCTCGGGGGGTCACGTGACTTCGGGAGGGATCACGTGAGCTGGGAGGTCACGTGACTTGGGGGTCACGTGACCTAGGGGGTCACGGGACCTTGGGGTGACCTTGAGAGGGGTCACGTGACTTTGGGGTGACCTTGGTTACGCCGACGGCGACGGCGACGGCGACGCCGACGCCGCTCAAGCCGGAAACGGGCGCCTAAGAGCTGCGCTCTAAAACAACTAAATCAACTCTTTTTAGAAGGATATAACACGGGGGCAGAATGTTACGGCGTTCCAGAAAAACGGTCAAGTTAGACGCGTTTTTAGGTTTTGGCTTCTTATCGGAGCGCATTTATGCGCCCACGGTCGAGCTCCCTGCTGGCTGAGACGCGTAACATACGTGCGTCCATCTTCCCTCCATCCTGCGAGGAAGGCAGGCGGGTGGCTTCGCGCCGCGACCACCTGAGAGCAAGACCGCGGCCGCAAAGATACGCTCCGAAAAGCAAACAAAACTTAGAAACGCGTCCAACTCCAGCGTTTTTTCAGAACGGCCTTAAATTCCCTGTCCTATATTTTCCTAAAAAGAGGTGATTGTCTGGTTTTCGATGATGCAAGTTTCTAATTGGAACCATGCGTATACTTCACTACTTAAAAAGGTAATTAATAAGTAACAATTAATTAGCCCAGTGATCGTTACGATTAGGCCCGTATGCTATGGTTCCCTGGCCGTATAACTTACCTGCACAAACCGCTTAAATGTAGCTTTCCGTGCTTTTTTTAAACAAATCTGTAAATCTTAAAAAAGACACCTTGTATGTAAAATGCAGGAGTAAGAGGTTAAACCCGGTGACGTTCAATATCTCCTGAGTGCGAGGCCCTCATAATATATAAATTGCTTTGCCTTGATGCTCACAATTGAACCATTGAAAATTTATACGAACAGTAATTTCTACAACTTATCTGTGTTTGCAATGTCATTTTGGGGTTTTTCTCATGTATAAGAAAAATACCGAATGCACTTTTTAAATATTATATTTGTCACATTAAGGGTTTTGTGTGTGATGCGATTGAGCTTAATCAAGTAGCTAGACCTTAAATCATCCCTTTTTTCAGCCTGTTTCTGCAGTTGGAAGAAGGAAGAATAATGTCGTAAATATCACAAAAAAAATGTTGCTCGAAATGAATGTATGAACCTTTTGGTCTATCACAAATTTAGTCGCGGCGGATCTGAAGAGGAATTTCATTTTAAGATCTATGTGGTTTTCAGATAAACAGGTTAAATTATGAGAAAAAAACTACTCGTATGCACACGCACCATGAGCACGTACATAGTGATGACAAAAAAGCAAATAATAAGTCATGGCAGTGGGATACATATGTGGTTAGATTTGTGCCAGGACATTGAACGGTCCGCATCACGGAGTGGACAAACTTGCCCACGAATCGTTAGCGTTCTGTTCGAGAATGAGTATTCTCAAATATTTTGACTTCATTATGAGTCCCTCTGACATAGGTATTGCATTTTCATTTCATTGTAGCAAGTACCGGCACCTCCGTGTAAACACACGTGCTGCAAAGAAGGAGGATGTCAGATTGTGGTAAATTGGCCAGATGGCAGGCCCTGTGGTGTGTCTTCAGTAAGCTATAGCTCTTTATATTTTTTCAATGTTATCACCTTTTTTCAGTGAATATTATAACGTACGTTTCTGACAAATATATATAGCTCAAAGTTATACTGAAGATGTGCGCCATTCAAAATACATAGACATTATACTCGAACACAAGTTGTTGCTAGAGCAAAGTACCTTGCACAACTAATTGTTGCAACTATGCACTGGTTTACATCAAGACCTCAATATCTCAATATACAAAGATATATGTAGGAAATGTGTGGTGTTACCAGTACACACCTTAAATAATAAAAATAACGCAGAAACATTACATATATTTTTATAACATTTTGGTATAGCAGCATATTCGTTTAGTTCCGATATATGTGAAATTCCAAAGCTTTTGGTGTACTTAACGCTGTACATTTTTCCATCACATAACAGACTACATCATCCACAAGCGTAATAACGTGGCTCTGATATCCAAATTACATTCAGTCGTTCAACTAAACTCTGGATGTCTAACATTTCAGTACTATGTCCAGTCAGAAAATAATTCGTAATGAAAGGAAATAATGAAGTGTGCATATTCTACTTTCGTTTCCAAGACCAAAGTATTTTATGTAGTACTTGCTACTTTTTTCTATTATCCTTGTACAGGTTCAGTCTCTTATTACTCTTAAATTCGAGGCACATTGGTGGATGAAGCCAACAAAGCCACGGACACGCGCGCACGTCGTGCCGGCGGTAAGAGGAACCAATCTTACTGAGCGCAGACAAGTTCCCGATTGCGGTTATCAACAGCCCAGTTAAGGCCCATTCACACATTCGGGACTCCTTAGGACCATGCGACTCGCGTTTGATGATGACCGACTGCACTCTAAGAAAAAATGGAGGAAAAAGGTAGCAACGGCGCGTCTTCCTTCCTTCTACTGACGCGCCCCCAAGCGGACACGAGAAAAAGGGAGGAACGAAACGTTTTTCTCCTTCTCCAGGCAGACGGGGGAAAGCTTTCGTCGTCCCGACTCATCTTCTTTTGGTTTCGTTTTTCGAGCACGTCGAGCACGTTGTTTAATAAAGGTTGTTGAGTGGATTGAGCTTCAGCGGCAGCGAAGGCCGCCTGTATTTCCGTCTTCTAGTCCAAACGTGCAGAACATTTTGGTTGCATTGATGTTTTTATCACTAATTTTATCAAACGAGTAAACGAATTTGGAATACATTTTAGCGCTCAAAAAAGAGGGACAAAGAGGCGAGAAACAGACAGCACAGTGCGCTTCTCGCCTCTTTGTCCCTGTTTTTTGAGCGCTAAAATGTATTCCAAATTCCAAAACCAACTAGGCCAACAATCTACTCTGCTGAGTAAACGAAGCCGCTAGAAACAGCGAAGTTCCGGAGCAGTGCCAGCAGCGCTACGTACACTGGGTAAGATGACTGTCTCCGGATTGCGAACCCACGCGGAACTACAGTAGTGGAACCACGCGGAACAGTGTCGACGTTTTCGACGTTATGGAAATCGCAGGAACTGCATCCAAGACCGGCAGGTTTTGCTGCCGGCAGCCTGGGTGCCTTCCTTGCTGAGTTCGGTTTTGTTTTCCGATGCCGAGAACCAACCGGCAATCAACGTGGCTCTGTATTTGTGCGTGTCAGCAACATAGCAGCAACACCATGATGGCAGTGTTGTGCGTTGTGAAGAGAAGACTGCAGTTATCGCCGATGTGACCGTGTGTTCGGGTATCAGTGGTGTAACAACAAGATGAGATGACGTAAACTGTTGGGCATTGATGCCACTGCTCGGGCCGTGATCGGGGGGGGGGGGGGGGGGGGGGGGGGCGGGGTGTCGCAGGTTGACATTCCGCTTTACATTAAAGAGTTTAAGACCACTTGAGGGATTAGGTGCAATCGGTCGACGTGCGGATAGTCATGGTGGAACGCTGGTCTGTACAGTAAGCTCCTATCGTACTGTGGCCAATGTGACTGTCGGTTGTCTCCTTCCCGAGAGCGATTGCGCTCTCAGGAAATGACTGAACAGTACGAAATCATGACGGAAAGTACGTATATTTAGTGTGTGGAATTTATTATTAAAAAACAACAGTAGGTAAAATCGAAAGAAAAAGCTGCTTTTTATTTTGCTGTTTAAATATACTAGAGTTCCTGGCGAAACTGCCCTCCAAATGGCGCGCTGGGATGAGCGCTACAAGTTTTCGAGCTCGCCACGGCGTAGCTCCGCACACTCAACACCTGCCGCAAGTCGCGGCTTTGACTGCATTCAAGTTGATCGAAAAGCGTTTTCTCTGCTCGTGAAGCATCACTTCCAGCTGAGTGAATATCCGCTCTACAGAGATTAATTCAAGACTGCAACAGGAAGCCGTGCGCGAACAGCACAAATAGAAAAGCAAACACTACAATAGAAATACAGGCTACGTTACGACGTGCCGTGCGAGGAAACAAACTCATGGCTTCGAACCGCATTGGAGCGGCTTGATTTATTGGTAAAACATATAAAATAGCGCAACAGAAATAAGGACAAGAAGTAAACAGGACAGGCGCTATGGCTTTGAAATAATTATGGCATGATCGAACGTTTACTTTTTAATAAGAGGTTCATCCCCTGAGCCATTCGAAATACCCTCAGAGGTACGACATTGCTGGGAAAAAAATACACATGCTGGGAATATTTTTTATTGCTTAGGGAGTCACCGAAATGTTCCGTACGTTCAAAACGACGGAAGACGGAAACGACGGAAACGCAGAGCTTGGCTGCATACTGGTCGGGTCAGTGTGCCGTTGTATTGAAGTTTCTATGTGACGTGTTTGTGTATGCCCTAAATGTATGCTCACCTAATGCTTGTAGTATACGTAATGTGTGTACATGTGTGTATAGTAGAGGATCCCGAAGCGCAAAGATAGCCTCAGACAATAAAAAAAAATATTTTTGAAGAATATAAATTGGGTGGTATCTAGCGCCACCAAGCCTAGCTACTTGCAATTACTCTGCTTGACCGTGCCATGGTGGCAAGCGATTTAACCTTCTTTCACGCTACACTGGCTAGGCCTTAAACAGCAGCTTCGAGTTTGTTCTTTTGAGAGCGGGTTTTGGTTTCGCGGATTGGTTTTCCATTTCTCCGTGATGTGCGGTTGGCGAAAGATTTGTGACTCGAGGAACAGCATAGGTAAGACGTGAAGTAACTGGGCATCGGTTGTCTCCGTTTAACATCGCAGTGCTGACGACAAGAGGACTGAGTAACTGCTTTCGAAACAAGTTTCTGTACCTGCGGGGGGAACTTGGCTTCGTAAATAAACACAGTTCGCAGAAACGTCGTGTTTCGTTTTTATTTGCTGCTCCTTTCGTCCCGTACAAGAGATGTAGTGTCCTCGTTCAGCCTTATTGAGCTTGATTTGTTCGATTCAGGGCCGCCATGATGAGATGCAGGCGATGGAGGAACTAGTTGCTCCCCTTCTTCAGGGACGAAGGTTTCTCCCTTTCTAAAAAAACATGGGTTACAAGACCGTTCCTCCTCCTTAGGGAGGACTATCCATACCCTTTTTTCTAAGAGTGTGAGGCAAGGCTAATTTTCAAGCCTCTTGTGACGGCGGACGACCGCCTGCGCAGCAACGCGGCCTATCGTACACCGTCACAAGAGGCTTGAAAACCCGGTCTTGCCTCGGTCGGTCGTAATGGTTGCAAGTGTGTGAACGTGCCTTTATCAGCCGCAAAGCTAAGCACAGCGTTATAAAACATAGCAAGGTCGAATAGCCGAAAGTTGATACACTGCGTTTCGCCTTACGACTGAACGCAGCGGATGCTATGATCCTTATCGGAGCCGATTGAACGTGGTCTGAGTGTCACATGACCCAGAGGGGCGCATCGACACTCCGAAGGCGCAGTCATGTGCTACCTCCACAGAACTGGATTGGCTGGGCTGACTTGTTGCGTCCGCTGAGGTAGTCGGGCCAGCACCCTGTGCGCGTAATTTCTCTCGCCGCCTGCATGTGGTTTTGTTGGCCCTGTCCACCATCTTTAAAGGCATTTTACGAATATATAAAAATTATGTGCTGAGCCCTTTTTGTAGTTGTGTTTATTAGCCTAAAGAAACTTGGAACCTAGTGAGTGAGCTAACAGGAAGAGAAACAAAAAAAATATCGATGATACAATCGCAAGACTATTCCGTGAGTCGAATGATTTCGTCTCGTTATGTGAATTATTCAGCAATCAATTTGCGACAGATGTTGAAGACCTTAGGGCTACAATAAACTTCCAATAGCAAGCCGGCTATCAAATCTTTCACAAAACCTGGAACCGGCATAAATGCATATGATGGCTGAAGCAGATACACGTTGTATTATCAACACTATGTAGATAACAAAAAGCCGGCAAGAATTGATCAGATTCGTTTGAGGGATATTGTTCACAGTTTTGATAAATTAAAAGGTGTGGTACTAGCAGTCTTAAACGGTATATTTAATACAGGAGTTATTCCAGCAGGGCTAAAAAGTTCTATAGCAAGATCATTATTTAAGGGAGGGAACAAAGAGATGCAGGCGATTACAGACCGTAATAATTTATAAAGTATGCCGGCAGTCTCTCATATAATGGAAAGGCATATGGGAACCGCAATGAATGTTTTTCTGTGAGAGATTTGATATAATTAAATCGCAATACGGTTTCAGAAACGGAAAAAGTGTAACATTGCAGCTGAAAGATTTCACTGATGTTATGAAAGAAACTTTAGATAAAAGTAGTATTGGTTTACCCTTGTTTTTAGATTTATCCAAGGCATTCGATACAATAGGTTTAGAACATTCAAGATTGCTTCAGAAATATATACCCGTTAGTTTTTAGAGGGCTATTCGATCAGTTCTTTCATTGAAATTTTTATAATAGAAATCAACGGGTTAAAATTGATAGAATATGAGTTAAACAGTTAGGATAAACTGTGGATTACCCCGAGGATCATCTTTAGCCCTTTTACAGTTTAATATTTTTATCAGTGACTTGGGTAAACTCAACCTACAGTGAAAAATATTTC